TATATACCAGCTAGCCAAACTTCAGTAACCCTACAAATGTCACTGCTGTTTAGTTTTCTGTCTTCATTTGTGATGAGAAAGCTGTACATTTTAATTTGTTTCCAAAACCCCGCACTCAGGACAAGCTATATTGTATTTAGATGGAAGCTAGCAAGCTAACATCCTGCTAACTTCTAACTCCGTTAAATGTCATAAATTCAGTTTTCATGGATGCCTGGATGTTAAACTCAGTTGTTACACCTGGAAGAGCAGAACGCTGATAATTTTTTATTAAAGATGAAAGACTTAAGACAGTGTTTTAACTCTCAGTAATGCCACAGTGATCATTTTATATATGAACCTGCAGCAGAGTTTAGGCCCAGACACGGCTAGTAGTGACGTCAGACTGAACGATCAGATACAGCACGGTGGCACGATGGTTAGCACTGTTGCCGCACAGCAAGAAGGTCCGGAGTTCAATTCCACCATCAGGCCGGGGTCTTTCTGTGTGGAGTTTGCATGTTCTCCCAGTGTTTGCGTGGGTTCTCTCCGGGTACTCCGGCTTCCTCCCACCGTCCAAAGACATGCAACTTGTGGGGATAGGTTAATTGGATAATCCAAATTGCCACTAGGTGTGAATGTGAGTGTGAATGGTTGTCTGTCCCTATGTGTTAGCCCTGCGACAGACTGGCGACCTGTCCAGGGTGTACCCCGCCTTTCGCCCTATGACAGCTGGAAAAGGATAAGCGGAAGCGAATGGATGGATGGATGTATCAAAAAAATTCAAATAAAGAGATAAATAATGAAAGAAAAATCTAAATAAATTGCACAAACATTTAAAAGCGATTTAAAAAATGCCTGATATAGCAAATATGATATAAATTAAAAGACATTAAAATGAAATTATTTTTTAAACAAATTTGTCAAATGGTTCAATAAACACTGCATTTTCAAAAAATGTGAATTTTCTGGTAATTTTTTCATCCTTCAGGTTTTAAAGGGTGAGCTAATTAATGTGTCACATTAAGTAAAGTGAGGCCCTTAGCTTCCTCATTACCCTCACAGTTATTTAATAAAATATACATAAAACATAAATATTTAATAAATTAAAATGACTACAGGATTCTCAACAAGCATTTTAATCACTGTATTCAAGTTACAGACAGATTAATATTCTCATTTATGTACAGCACTGAAACCAACACATCTAATAAACAGATTTTGCAACTGTTTAATTCAGCCTAAAGATTTAATCCCTGAACTTTGTGGAAACACAAATGTTACTGATATAGTTACTGATGTTTGTCACAATAGTGCATACATGCAAACCAATCACAGACTTCTTTTTATGAATGTAATATACAGGAAGAGTAACCACACAAGATAACCATGAGGAGACTCGTGCGAATAGGAATACGAGAATGAGAATGATGTATTGCTATTCAGTGCATACGAAGAGGAACTAACATTAAAGCAAACGGTTATGGTGAAAATGCAATTTGTAAAAATAACCTGTGAGCCACAAGGGTGACATGTCTTGGGCAGATATCCCTGTTAGGAAGCTCTGGGGTGGATGCAGAATGTGATGTAGTGATTGCCTCTGCTGGCTGTCTTCATCCCGGTGTCTCCCTGGAAGAACTGCAGGAAGCAGCAAGAGGGAGATCTGGGCTTCTCTGCTTAGATGACTGATTCTGCAATAAACAGGAATAATGATTGCTCTTTACTGTTGGAGTTAGGAAATCCCTGATTTACTTATTTTATTATTTTTTGCTTTTTATCATATTCTGTAATTAAAATGATAAAGAAATGAAATGATAATAAAATAAATAATAATTGCTGAGACACACTACAGTACATGTTGATATATAGGACAATGGCCAAACTGTTTGTGTGAGACTTGTTTTCACTTTATAGAAAAAAGATAAAATCACATCACCCTTATCCTGGCTTCTTTTACATCTTAGAATTATAGACTTTACTGATCACTAAAATGTCATCTGCATCTAGGTACATAGTAGACCCCATATATGCCTGCTTGGGGGCCCTTCTGGCTGTTTTAATGCTTAAATCTGATGATCACTGTTGGCTTGCCTTTAGTGTCATCAGCTTTGAAATGGGTCGGCTGAGGAGATAAGGCCAGCAGAATAAGTGATTTCCCTTTATGAGTGATTCTGTTACATTTGATTTCTTATTTTTTGGTTATCTCTCTTTATTTGTTTTCCTAATTGCAGCCTTTTGCTCTTTAATTAATTTGCTTTATTTTTTTGTAATATTTAACCTTTTTAACCTTTTATTCTATCCCTTAAGTGTTCTGTCAAAACACTTTGAAAGTTGTTTCTCTGTTTTTAAAGGGATATATCACTTAAATCAGTTTTGTCGTTTGTTACAGTTTTTAAATTTGATACTTTTCATATGTGTAGATGTTTGCTTCATATTTAATGCTATGCACCGTGTGAGGCTAGGATTTTTTTTATGCTTGCACAACAACATTAAAGGTCTTGAATCTATTTATTGTACTGTTATAAGTCTGTTTATTGTTTATTCTGTCAATTAACATTTTACTGTATTTTTTGTTTTTCTTTTAACTACCTTTGGTGAGTCTTTTTAAATCTGTTATTTTTCAATTTATCTCCTGTATTATTATTATTATTATTATTATTATTATTATTATTATTATTATTATTATTATAAAATTTAAATTTAGGTTAATTGAGGTTAGCATGATCAACATGAACTTTATTCCAATGTTGATTTATTAACTCAGAGCTTTAACAGTTGCTAGTGTTCTCAGAGTAATAAATTTACCTCTTTTACTAACAGGACTGCCCCTCAAAATTTATAATACTACTAATAAAAGCACCTATTTACAAGTGGTCACCGCAGTGGGTGGATGTTTGATTTGGCAGCTTTGCCCTTCTTGATGCAACTCATTAAGAGATAACATTTGAAAGAACTAAACATCATTTAATGTAGATCAGAGTTTTAATAAATGCATTATTTTGTGATTAGACAACAATGTAGCTACATAGCAGAGCGAGTACAACACTGACAGAAGTAGGGCAGGACTCCCAAAGCCTTGAAACATGCTGGCAGAAATGCAGCAGATGGAGACTTGATGAAGGATGAGGTTGATGTTGGGAGGAGCCTTACTGCACGAATGGGAATCCTGCAGGAAGAATGACAGAAGAGCAGTGAGATTTATAGCACATGGGACAAAAACTGATTGGTTCGCAGGAGCAGGGCAACAAAATGATTGGGCCAGAGTGATGACGACAGCATTGAGTTTGACAGCGTGGGAATATGGAAGTGATGTAAAGAAGAGACCAGCAGCCACCCAGAAAATCAGACAGATAAATGAATAGAGATCTTCTTTCATTTCATTAGCTGGCCACCAATTAGTATACACATCAGTGTTATCACATCAAATTATCAGTCAACATTGTAATGGTTTGTTAATCTATTTTGTTCAGTAATCTTTGAAAATAACCTTAATTTGTAAGTACAGGGTATTATATAATACCTTATTATATTGTGTACAGGGCATTAAGTAGCCTTTATGACCACATAAAGAGGCTACTGTTACAGGGTTGTAGTAAGTCGATGATATTGCCACATACAAAAGTACATTGCTAAAAAGCTTTTAAGCTAAAATTTGCGTCAGCATCTCTATACACAGGCTTATAACCACAACGTTTGACATAGTTCATTGCGGTCATGTGTAAAGCAGTGGGATAAGAATTTTTACCTCCAAGTCCGAGTCCATATCTCTCAGTCATGAGTTGCTGCCCAATGTGGAGGACTTAAAATATCTCAGGTTCTTGTTCACATGTGCGTGAACTTGGGTATTTTATTGTATTGTTTACTCCTGCCCTTATGCTGTCACATTATGCTTATATTTCAGATAGATCTTATCAACTTACACATTCCTATGGCATTTATCTATTTTAAAACAACCAGTATAGTTCATTCAACTCATAGCGCTTGGTGTTCTACCAAAAAGCTAAGGTGCGCAGCCCTGGTGGGCTTGACTCACTTCTTTTCTTTATTAAGTGGATTAACCTGATCTAGCTTTACCACACCCTTTTGTGTCAGCACCGTCTTGATTGAGTAACTGTAATTACATGATCTAAAGATGCCTCTTGTGGGAGATGTTGCCCTCTACTGTCAGTAAGGAGAGATATGTGCTTGGCCAGGTTAAATCTTTAGTAGGAACACTAAAATAATTGTAAGCCCTGAACAGCATGGCACGAATTCTTCATGGGGAAAAAAGCAAGCTTTTCTGTCAGCTGCTATTAGCCAATTTAAAGCCTGATGAATGCAATATTTAAATTATATGCCATTTGCTTCATTAAAAAATTGCAGCATTAAAAAAGACAAAGATAAAAGATGAAAATGAAAAGATGAAATGTAGATTTAATGGTGCTACATCAAGCGTATATCACTACCTTAAATAGCAAGGGGAATTAAAGTAAGCACACATACACTGATACGCAATTTTAAATTCACAAACACGAGTGTTTGTGAATCAAGTTGTCCAAATCAAGTGGTTCGGACTCAACATGTTGACTAGTGCGCATCAAAATATATTCTACATCAAACAGACAATTAAAAAGGAAAATGTCCCGATATAGAAAAATGTGTTTTAAAAGACAGAGGAGTTTCTGTTTTGTGGGCAGAAAGTGAAGTCTTACCCATCACCTTGTCGACCACCAGCATGCACTTACCCAAATAAAAAACAATCGGCTCAGAAAGAAAAAGAAAGACAAATAATACATAAACCAACCTGCTTGTTCATCAGCACACAGATAACAGGACTGCGCACTGTTAACCTCTAAAGGTGATGATGGCACCGAAGGGAGATTCAATGCAGTGAAAGTGGCATATGGTATCCAAAGTACTAGACGCACATCATGACGCACACACATCTCACTTCCCTAACAGTATTCTGGCTGTAATCCTGTTACTGGGCTGCAAAGTAAAGTGTCTGAGACCAGATCCTATGATCAACATTTGCAACAGTTTACCAAAGATTTAATTAAAAAGCAGCTATAATGTAAATCTTTTTGTTTGAGGATTAGTTAGAACTCAAAGTGAATTTAAGTTTCACTTATAACTGTTAATGTGATAAGGAAGACAACAGAAATGCAAGAAATAGATGGGTCATGATAATAGATCATCAACTTCTAGTTGTCGGAGTGTTGCACTCCCTCAGCAATGTTCCCTCTAATTTCAATTGTTCCGTCTGTCCTGCTCACATCTCCAATGGTTGTGCACATTGTCATTAACGTGGCTTCACTCCACATCAGCCACGCCTCACTGACTAACACTGCAAAACAGGATTGTTAAAGTATTAATTTTCATTTCAATTCAGGTTAGATTTTTTTTTGTGCGCAACGCAGAATTTCTGTGCGCAGAGACCGCGCCAGCAGCAATAACAGGTAGTAAGCACCTGTGAACAGCTTAATTTTAGCACGGGAATGATTCCACATACACTGCCAGTGCAGTAAAAGCATACCTGAATAAAAAACGAAAAATCATCCTGACAGAGAACAGAACAAAAGGCAGCCAACATCTAAAGAAGAGCTCTTATGTACCTTATGTACATTCTGTAGTATTCATTCCACCTCATTCATTTCTGTATTTTATGTATATAAGTTTAGATTCATTATTTATAGTTGGTTTACATAGCTTTGTGTATGTATGTGTAATGTGTATATATAGACACTTGTGTGTGAGATTTACATTGCCGTGCTTGAGAGCCACCATCTACCGGAACCAAATTCCCTGTATGTGTCTGCACATATACTTGGCCAATAAACACGATTCTGATTCTGATTCTGATTCTGAATGCCCTTCAAGATAGCTGCAGAATTATTCCTGAAGCCTTCTTAAAGAAAAAAGAAGAAAGTTTGCCTATGAGAGTTCAGACTGTGCTGAAGAATAAATGTGGCCATAACAAATACTGACCTTCAATCTTGTTACAATTGTATATTACCTAAGCTGCAACATGACTTCTACTGAACCTAAAGCTTTTCATGTGTTTCAAATGTGCATTGGCAAAGATTTTGAGAACTAAACACTGAGTATAAAGCAGTTGCTGTAATTAAATGCCTTAATGGTCTTGCTCCCCCATACCTTTCCGAGTTACTTCAGCCTTATATTCCTTCACGGACCCTCAGATCAGCTGACCAGCTGCTGTTGGTTGTCCCAAAATCAAGGCTTAAACGTAGAGGAGAACGAGCCTTTTCAGTTATGGCCCCAAAACTTTGGAATACGATGCCTTTAAATATTAGACAGGCATCTTCGTTTCCTGTTTTTAAAATGCTTTTGAAAACACACCTTTTTTCGATAGCGTTCAGACTGGCTTGAGTTGATATGGTTTTTATGGGTTTTATTATGTTTTATGTGAGTGTCAGTGGTTGTACCTTGTGTTTTACCCTGTGTTTCTCTACAGCACTTTGGGCAAACTTTTTGTTTTTAAACGTGCTATATAAATAAACTGGATTTGGATTTACATGACTAAGTGTTTCTGCAGCAGTTCCAAATGACACATTCTGTTCTTGTTTCAGCAGAAGCTTTACAAAGGATTACTATCAGTGTAACTATAGTGTGATGACAGCTATTCTCAAATGTGCATCTGTGACTTGGATGTTCCACCTTGGTATATTTTTTGGAAATAGCCGGGCTACTACTTCAGCTAGCCATAATTTGCATTAGCTAAATCTTATATTTTGCTCAAGAAAAAAAAGTTTGGAATTTAATGGAAAATGTCCCTTAAATGTGTGATGTTCTGCTTTGGTTTTAAGCAGCAGATAATCAAACCAGCATGTAAAAGTTAAGCAACCACACCAGTATGTTTCTTTTTATGCATGCATTTATTATATTTACTCAGTCCTATATTTTTTTTTCCTTTTCATATAATGCATAAAAATAACACCACTGGTAGACCAGTGAAATATATGCTCCCCCAAGTAATTGCATGAAAACAATCAACATGTGATTGTACATTCATCAGGTACAAGTGTCACATTTCAGCAGGTTTACAGTTTGAGGTGTTTTTCGTTTACAAGTTCACTCATATTCACTCTCTCAAATGCTCTCACATGCACACAGACACACAATTGCTGTACAACATCATCCCAACAGAAAATGCATTTGCCTTTCTGTTAGTTCACAGATAACATAGAATTCCTTAGTGTTTTTGGTCCAGACTCCATTTGTTAAATCCATTTGGCAAAATGATTCTAATGGGATGTTCTAAAATCTGGAAGCAATCATCAATGTCCATAGATCTGAAGATGCCATCAGGATTAAGACACAGAGGACACCTCTGTCTTGCTTGTTGAAACTGAGGTCTCATCCTCCACCATGCCGCCCATTCCAATGGTGGATAGCATGCAGTTACGAAACTAAAAGACAGCCAATTCAGAAACTCAGTAAACAGCAAAAGACTGAAAAACAGAGAAGAAAACTATGAGAATACGTAACACCAACCTGTTTGTTCATTAGCACGTAGATAACAGGGTTGTACAAAGCGGAGCTCTTTGCAAAGAAAGCAGGGAGGGCTGCAGTGAGGGCAGTGAAAGAAGCTCCCTTGTTCATGAAAATCCAACCAGCAAAGCTAGCATACGGTGTCCAAGCTACCAGGAAGCCCATGACCATCAAGACACACATACGGGTCACTTCCTTCTCAGCTTTCTGGGTAGAAGCTGAGTCCTGCTGCTGTGCTGCTGCCTGTTAAGTTTTTCATTTAAATGTAATCAATAATAGCAAGGTGCAATAAATTCCACAGTAGCAATGGCTAGCTTGGTTAGATTAACTGATCTATTATAAATAATTTAAGAACTTTAGCTTCACTTACAGCTTTGACTGTCATCACAAGGCTTCCATAAGTGAAGAAAATGATGAAGACAGGAACGAAGAAGTGAACAACAAACATGTAGATGACATATGACTCATTGTTGAAACCTGGAGCCAGTGTGTAGTAGTCAGGACCACAGGAACACTGCATTCCCTCAGGAATGTACCTGTGTGAGATTATTTTTTAAAAATCTCATGTATTTCTTCAATAAAATTAGCTTTTATCCAGCTTTTATTCAACATTCATAATATTTCAAGACCTTTACAACTAACTACTTATTCATCTTGTTAATCTCCTTTGTGCAGTATTCTGACTGTTTAAAATCATTATGATGAAATGAAAAGAAATAGAATTTACCTGGACCAGCCAAAGAGTGGAGGTGCAGCACAAGCCATTGCCATGACCCATGTGAAGAAAACTCCAGCACCAGCATGAGCTCCAGAGAACTTGAAGCTTCCCATGGGTTTGCAGACCACAATGTATCTCTCAACAGCCAGGACAACAAGTGACCAGAGAGCAACTTCACCTGTAGACAGAAAAGGTGAGTTATTCATTGATATTGTATATCTGCCAATGAAATAGAAAGGATCCTGAAAAGATCTGCTTTCTTTATTACCTCCAAGTGTGGCCATGAATCCCTCAATAGCACAGAAGGTGGGTCCAAGAATGAAGTAGCCATTAAGAGCTGATGTGATGGTGATGGTGAATCCAAAGCAGCACATGATGAGTCCAGCCACAGCCAGGTTGACCAGGATATAGTTGAGAGGTTGCCGGAGCTTCTTGTTCTGAGCAGTTACGAACAATGTCAGGCCGTTGATGGGAGTCCCAGTGCAGATCAGGAAGAACATGTAGAAAGCTAGAACTTTGTAAATTATCGGGTCTACCATATAATACTGAGTGTACTCAAAAGGACTTCTAACAATCCCAGTCCTGTTGGACATGGGAATGTAGAAGTTCTTGCCTTCAGTGCCATTGGGCTCAATTCCTCCATCCCAAGCCATCTTTGCTAGTCAGCTGTTTAGTTGTGTCTGTGTAAAAAGTCTACTTGTGTGGACGGTGACGATGTTTCAAGTTACACCCTGTGATTTTTATACCTCTCCACTAACCCTGTCAAACAGCCAAAATGGGATTAGCGGGTTGTGAGGTAGTGCAGAAGCTAAGAGGTCACTAATTAATCTTAACACCGGATAGACAGGACAGGGTCCAAACTAATTTGCTCCCCTTTCCAAGTCCGGAGGAATTCTCTTAATCCTTACTCGAGAAAGGGAATTACGTTCGCTCAGCTTTTAAAGTCTGAAGAAAAGTTAATCATGAGCAAACACACAAATCATACCTGAAATATGAGAAATGTCTGTGTATATAAAAACAATAACGTGTACTGATTTTAGAGTGTTAAATATATTAACTACAGCAGATAATGTTTAGTGATAGTGTGCTTTACACAGTCTGCGTCTTTTAATATGAGCTATGTATGTGTTGAAATGTATGTGTTGCCTTCTTCTAATCCAATTCACTGTGGGTGCTTTCTTTCCTACAGTGCTTAACTACCCTACATTAAAAATTTTATGTGTTTATTAATTCAGACAAGACCTACAGTCAAGCTTTTTTTACCCTCACAGTCTGTCTCCATATGGAGGAACTTTGGGTGTCATTATCCTGATTGGATTAACCTCAGTATCTCACCTGTGGTAGCTGTGGTGTGGTAAAAGCTTACTGTCACAGGTCGGAAAGAAAATGTCTGGTAAAGACTTAGCCAATTTGTTGTCTTCTTTAAGCTACTGCAACACTATCAGTGGCAAAGAACAGCTAATATCAGTTATCCTTCTGTTTATTTGACAGATAGAAAGGATAGATTATGATTGGGCTACATGATGGAGAAACCACGTCATTTCTCTGTTACCTGTGATTAATTCAGATCAACTTGCTTGTGATGCTCTGTTTACTCCCAGTTAAATGTGATTTGATATGATAATAAATAAATTTACTTTCTTTTATATTTTCAATATCATTTATTGCTAATTTAATTTTGGCTTTTGCTGACTGGTGTGAATATTCAATATGCTATAATTTTTGATCGACCTCTGTGTATTAACTGCCCTTTGGATGCTTAAACATATCTATACATTGCAGATGTATATATTAGTATTATTACATAAACTAAGCATTTCCATTTTATTCTTTTTTAATATAATATTCTACCAGGGTTTGACTGTGGTAAGTAGCTTAATGCCTGATAGCTAAACGGATGACACTACAGTGGAAACCAGACTGCAGATAATACCTTTCAACTCTGACACACCTCAAGGTGCCTCAGGTGGTAGCCTCATTACCTGACCTCAGGTAACAAATTAAGAGAAAGACTTAAAACACGATTTACTGTTAAGATCATTAACAAATTTCTCTTAACCTCACCCAACCTGAAATCTAATTTCGCTAAGTTGAGGTCATCACCATTTATAAAATAAGGAACTGTAATTACATTAAATGTTTGTTAATTCCTAGAGGTGTCCAGTAAAATACATCTACACCCTCATTTCCAACCAGACGAGGAGGCTGAAGTCCTTTGAACACCCACAGTTTCATTTGGTAGACCTTTGTAGATTTCTTTATGTTTGTCAAAATCTGATCTGGACTTTCTCAACTACATCCCGGTCAACTTAGCTAAGTTGCCACACACTAAGGTAAACTGCAACTGAAGACATAAAATGTAAATATCTAAACTTTTTTGGTTCCTTCATATAATTTGTATCTCTTATACCGTAATAATGTCTATCATTTATAAATTAATACTGGTTGCTCAAAGATATGGCTCACTACAGTCTGTACACAATGAAAAAGCTTCACTTTCACTACAGATTACAGATCCTATTGTACTGAATAATGTTAAAGGTTCGTGTGGTTTAAATTTGTAACTATGAACAACAAGATTTAGGTAGTTTACAGAAACTATCTACCTGGAACAATTTTAAGTTTAATGCAACATTAAAACATTAAGTGCAAATAAGGAGTAAAGAACAAAGTGCAGTTAAAGGCTGCAGAAAGTTAGATCATATTTAATGCAAATATAATAAGCAAAAAACCTTTGTGAATCGAGCATGAATGATAATAAAAACACAATACACTTAAGCTAACAAGAATCTTTTACGCATGAATATATAAGATATAAGATATAAATATATAGCAATATGACTTTTAAAAGCACTGTAACTGTCTGTGTGATGACTGTGCTTCCAGATGGATGCGACAGACACAAGTCATCGCTGATGAACTGACGCACTGTTGCTCTTTATTCTGTTGGACAGAAGCTGTAAGCACATCTCTAATGAGATTGAGCGCAAACTTTATCCTTACTCAATTTAATCTGTAAAATTTGCTTAATCGCTGACATTCAACACAAACTCCCTGTTTGTCTTAGCACCATTTCTTTCTCTTCTGCTTAAGAAACTCTTAGCCTCTTAAAAGTCTCCATTTCTACTCCTGTTTTTCACCTCAGAAGCTTATTTAAGATACTTTGTGGATAAGTTTAGTTTTAATCTGTATTTAATCTTACCTTTAAGGCAGAAATTATCAAAACACTTTACCATTTTAAGAATTTCCTTAAAGTTTAATAACGAGGAACATCTCTTTATACTGTGAGATTTGGTGAATACGGCCAGTGATGTGCAGAAATTTGAGCCTTTTATCCTTAATGAGCTGCTTCAGCTCAGCCATATTCTCAGGATGAGTGTCTTTCTTGAGGTCATTTTACAGAATCTCTGTTGAATAAATGATTGGGCTCTGACAAGAACACTTACTCTATAGGAGAAGAACAGAAGACAAAGTACCTGTTTGCGTCACAATATCAAGTATTAGAGTATAGTAGTATAAGCCTCCCTCCAAGCCACAGGCTCCCACGCAGCACCAAGCCACAGGCTCAGCAGCATGGAGAGTACAGCAGTCATAAAAGCAGACCTGATGAGCCTGTCAGAAAGACAGAGCTACAATGAGAAGTAGTCTGTTCAGGGCAAAGTAGAACATGAAATTACAAATTAGTATTCGAGCTGTAACAATATTGTTGCAATAAAGTGAGACGCTGCTTTCAATCAAAGCACAATTTCATCTGCACTGTTATTGTAAATTCCCACTCGACTTAAGTATTAACTGGAAATTTTAAGATTTGAAATCTTTGCTTAGTCCACTACAGTGACTGTGAAAGTTTGGCTACCCTTGTAGTCAAGGGAACAGTTTAAATCATGAATATTCTACTCAGTTTAGATCTGTGGCATTTTATGTTAAGGGAAAAGAATGTTTTGTATTCAGCAGTAGAGAAAATGATATTATTAGGATGTGGTTTCATATGTGAAGCATGTTTGGTGATAAATTCTATTTATTTTAATGAGTGAGAACTTAACTATCTCAATGTGGTTATGTAGTTATTATAGGGTATTTGCCAAATGCATATCTACTGTGTTATTAATTAAACCAGAACTGACCAAACGAACTTGAAAATTATGGATTTAAAATGAAAAGCTCTGAGCTTTTTGTCTTTGCCATACCAATTTTAATTGTACATGTTTTGTTTAGAGCTATTAGCATTCATGTAACTAGTATAGTTTTGTTTTTTTATTTATTAATTTTGTTTGTTAAATTCATGCTTGGGATGAATTGGGATTTGGGGAAAAAAAATTCATCAGTGTCCAGCCTTTTAAATTTTCTCAAATTATCTGGAAATTTAAAAAATGCACAATTAAGATTTTTTAATACAAAATTCCTAATGAGGATATATGAGATTTGTTTAAGTTCATGTAGTGGTGAACATTTACTCTCTCTACAGCAGCAGGACTTGCCTACTTTTAACGTATCAAGTAAGAGTAATCAAAAGTAAAAGTACTCCTTATACACAACAGCTCATGTCAGAATTATATATTTTCTGTACCACATTGGTGATGGAATAATAAAAGTAAAAAAGGACAAGTATAGAAAAATGTATTTACTTTATGTTCTATAAGTATATAATGTAGGCAGCTTGTCAACTTACTTGGAATGTAGAAACATAGTACACCAGTTTTTATGCTTTGATTGTTTATTATTATAATAAAAGTTTATTCTCCTGTAGAATAGAATTTGAATGCAAATAAATATATTTTTATTAGTTTATCTTAGAAAATATATGAATAAATTTTCAAACATTTAACCTAAATAAATTCAATTAAAAATGTTAATAATGTGTTAATAAAGTTCAATACATGTTAGATATGTTGTGTGGTTCATTTTCTTCCTTTTTGCAGAGTTTTAACAAGAGCGTCAAGGAGCTACTTCAATGCTGGAAACACCCTACACTCCAAAACAACATTTTCTTGATTAAGACACTGCTCTATTCCAACCAGAAACTAAAGACCCCTCTGCAAGCTGAAGCTTAACCCTTCATGATGTGAACAGGACCTCTTCATCTTCAAAAAGCAAAGATGCACCCACTAAACCTAGATATGAACAGAACTGGTGAGGGCTAAAGGCAAAATGTAAATTGAGCTCCAAGATATAACAATCTAATATTTTTCACCTTGCAGTGGTAAAAAGCTGGTCTTCATTTAGGCGTTGGGTTAATTAGAATCACCAATTAACCCCTAAAAATTTAATGTCTTTGTACTGTGGCTGCAAAAAGGTCTCCATTTTGGAGACAACACATAAGGATTTGAAGAATGTGAAGACTCAAAAAGCAAACCACAACAATCAGATGCTGTTCCCTCAACCCAAAGACACAGGTAAAAGAAATCCTCTTATCCAAAATCTCCGTACAGTATATAATCCACCTCCTCTGCAGGAGATTGTGTTGCATTCTAAGGTGAGTCTGGCTGAAGCCAAAGACCAGGCTCCCCTCTCTCCGGATTATTCCACCTATTGGAAATCAGGAACCAAATTGCCTTTGGATGTTTCCCAGTCCACTAAGGCACAGACCCCTAATACATGAGGCAGGCCCAGAGAGGGTCTACTTGGCAGGCAAGAATGGCCCTGATAACTTTTTCCTTAACAATATATTTTAGTGTCTCAGTTTTCATTACATGGAATTTTTAGAATCGATTTTAAGATGTCCTTTCATCCTGGACCAATTTGCCTTTGGGAAATGCAAAAAGTGGCAAAGTGTCTCTGACAATATTTAAAGTCCTCCACTAGTGGAGGAATTTGTTCGGTTACTTTTAATAATTGGATGAAAATCCTTCAACATCACTATGTGCTGCGTTTGTTTTCTTGACTTTCTCTTCCAGGTGTTTGTTTTTGCCAAGTTCCTTCAGATGTTTTCTAGATGTTTTTCTAACAAAGTCTCGTCTGGCCTTCTTGTTCATGAGTGTACCAGAGGTTTGCATCATGACACAAAACCCTCTGGATTTCAATGAAGGCATCTCCTGTTTGTAAACGTTGATGAGATGCCTTCCTCTTCCAGAGTATTCCAGACTTGGCTGATGTTGTTTTTCGTTTTTTAAACATAAAAATAATTCTGCCACTGCATGTAGCTAGCTTATTCTAAAGTTTTGTTTACCCATGTGACAGATTTATTTTTTAAGCCTAATGATTGATTTGTGATAAAGCAAATATGTCATGTCAAGGGAACAGGAGTCACATGGCCTTGAAAAGTCTTGTCGGTCAATTTTCTAAATGAATTTTGAGCCTCTAGAAATGGCTGTGTAAAAAGAACAAGGTGAAAGTATGTAATTCAATCACATATTGATTCTGTTATTAAAAATTTACTGTGGTGGTTTAAGCATAACTATGGAAATTATGTCTCTGTCATGCGTCACCTATGTGTGACCAGTAGATATAAAGCATGCGAGCTAATTCAGCCTTTAGCTGCTTAAATTCACCAAGAAAGACAACGCCTTTCCAACTGTACTGACCCTGTAGTCAAAGGTCTACATGATAAAATACGTTAAAGCATATGTGACACAACGGCATAGACTGACTTGTGTTCTGGTCTATAATTATTAACCCTTTTTCAAAAACAACAACCAATGATTATTTAATTGACAACAGGGAATTTGATTCAATGTAAACACATTTTGGCCAAAAAGATGTGAGCTGAAGCTTTAGCTTCAGCCTATGTTTTATACAGAACACATTCTAAATGAAATCCCTTTATTGACTAGATTTTATCAAAGCAAACACCAAGAAAAATGATAAATGAATAAATGAATAGGTAGTAAAAAGAGATATAGAAGAGATAGCTTAGTAGGTAGCTCCATGATTGGAAGGTCGGGGGTCCACCAAACAGCTACCCTGAGCAAGGTACCATCCCTACACACTACTCCCTGGGTGCTGGATTGGTGGCTGCCCACTACTTCACTGAGTGAATAGGTTAAATAAAGAGAGTAATTTCCCTACAGGGAATTAATAATGATGTATAATGATGTATAATGATCTTCACATTAAAAGAAAATCCATACACACTCTATTTCAATATCATTTAGTTTTTTTAAGAAAAAATAAAAAATTATTTTGCCACATTATAAAGGTTGTTTTGCTTTAGTGATAATTTATTAATTTCAACTGTTTCTTTCAAAAATATTAGCTCCCTTTCCACTTTATTTTGAAGCTGTTCCAAACTTTACCCATATTTTGTCATGATTCGTTGTGTGGCAGGAGAAGGACCCAAGATGCAGATTCACAGACACGGGGATAAACTCAAAAAACACAGCTTTATTGCTGGCCACGAGAAGCAATACAAAATAAACTAAAACTGGGAAAACTAAAGCATGAGATCTACAAGGAACCGAACCACGGGGAGAATAACACACAACATGAGGGAGAACGCGACGCCGAACAGAGGGAGACGCAGACAGAAATACACAGAGGGTTAACGAGGAAAGTGGGAACACACGGGGAACACAGGTGACACTGATAATCATAACGAGACAGGGCGGGGTGAACTGAACATGACATGTACAGGCATGAGAGTCACAAAGTAAACAGGAAGTGCACAGAGGTTCAGACAGGAGGAGAGAGAGCACGGGGAAAACACAGACATAACGGGCTGGGGGAACATGGAATAAAACATAAGGAGAGACGAGGGCTCACAGAGGGGCACACAGGGGGTAAAAGCCATGAAGGGAAAACACTTAGGGAACACCACAACAGGGCAACTCAGGAACATGGCCTAAATAAGGAACGAAATACAAAAATACAAGAAAACTAAGAACACTGGGCCAACATGGCCCAGGACCATGACATATTTAGTGTAACTGACAAACAACAATTTAGACACATTACATGTGTCATTTATTTATAAAATTTCCAGTTTAGAGCCCAGCACTGAAGGTTGTGGAACCTGACAAGTAACCTTAAACCAGAGTCAACATTTCTTATCTGTACATGACGATTTTTATACAGATGTGCTCAGTCATGAGTGAGCTAGCATCAGTCTATCTTTTCATTAGTAATCTGTGATCTGCCATTTCACATGCATTTTTAAGATCAATAAACACCCCCAAAATGTACTCCTTGTTGTCATTTGCAATTTTTGTAACGTGTTTTCTACAATTTAAATGACACCCATTGAGGTGGCTATTCAATAAATCGCATTTTTCAATGAAATTATCATAACTTTTCAAAAACAAAAGACACATTTTTCTTTGATGGAAAAAATGCTTCTAATCACTTGCATAAATGAATAATAATAATAATAATAACAACAACAACAACAACAACAATAATAATAATAATAATAATAATAATTATTATTATTATTATTACTTGCATAAATGAGAATGACTTCTGCTGTTTTTATTTTACCTGGAAATATACCAGTACCGATAAAAATATGATTCAAATATGCAAATACATGTTTCGGTTTTACAGTAAAACCTTAGCTAATTATCATATGTTAGTAATTAGCTATGTAAGCCGTATTATATAAACAGAAAAGTAATTACATTAACATTGATTAGTCCCATAACAAACCCAACTAACCCCACTCAACCCTAGCACGGCCAAAACAGTCAGTTATAACATCTGAAGGAGAAACAAGATTAGCTTTTTCATTTCTCTGCAGGAAGAAAGAGACAAAATTGTAATAATCCATACTGTAGCCTACAGTCCTGTTCCCCAGTGCTAGAGTTCAAACACTGCGCTAAGACGACAAAACCGCGTTTCAGCCAATTAACACACATTAGCCTACTGTTACTGCGTATCCCTTTGGCTAAAGAATGCCTAAGTATAAATACATGCACTATAGTGAGCTAAAGCAACTGTACCAAACAAATCAGTGCACTATAACTAACATTTTGAGGGATAATTAAGTCAGTAAAAGTCGGCGTTGGGAGTGCAGCTCACGTCATTTATTGAATAATACATGACAGAGAGAGTAACTGTTTTTCCCACTATGGCACATTAGGTTGAATGTTTTGTCTGCGTGGATTACAAAAAAGGGGGGAATCGCTTAAATATTGTAATATATCATATTTTGTCCGGAGAAACTACTTAATTAATTGATGAAGCGACACCTGTTTCCCCGGTTTGGTAGTCAAACGTCAGCACAATCCTCTGACACTATTGATCCTGCTGCTGTATCAAGCTGCATGTATTTAATAAATTCCTCCAACTAGCTCAGAATATCAAACAAGTTTTACAAGCTTTGGCACTTCCTGGTATTTGGCGTAAGATATTGCATGCAGCACACTTACTCCGAGATTCACGCACGTCTAGATATTTATGGAACTCCAAAGTGTGTTGCGTTTATGTGCCTTTTTTGTACATGAGGAAAGCGTGTATATGGTTGGGAAAACTACATTTAAAAACACAACGCACCACGGGAGGCATAAAAATAGCTGTATACCCATTTTGAAAAGCGAGTGTCCAGATAACTATCACTATATTAAAACAATAAACAAAATTATCAAAGTAAAAACAACAACAACAACAACAACAACAACAACAACAACAACAACCACATTCGACTACACTACGAGCTAGAATGCCAATCTACATATTCTTTTTGTGTTATAGCGAGTGTTTTTGACTAACCTGATCCCTGACTGGGGCTTATTTTGCGGTATTTAGGTGAGTCTGACGCTGAGGGATTCCTGTCATTTTTAATTCTCTGCCTCTGTCCTTTTCTTTTCTTCCGACCATCCATTTCGCGTTTTCTCTAAAAGTAATCTGTAGCAGAAGCAGGTAGATACTGGGAGCACTGCGAAAGAAATGCACGGGTGCATGCGCGCACACACAGTATGGGAGTCTTTAGCGCGCAGCAGGGGACACCCAGTGGCGAGTTGCACTTGAAGTGAGCTCTGAGAGGTCCGTCCATTTGTTACTGTTTGCAGTATCGCAGTTTGTGCAGTAATTGTTCACGCTAGGCCAAAACGACTGTCGGCACACCAGAAAATGTAAATTAGAAATACTATATGACACCTGAAACGACCAAAATCATGCTGACACCGACGTTACATTTATGTAATGTCTGCGTGTCTGTTCTAAGCTGTTAACTGCTGGCGTGAGTTCACATAGTCATGGTCAAATGTTAAACGTCTCTTTGAGGCGTTAATTAGGCATTGGACTAGTTGGCTGAATCACCTACTGTAACACCTACTGAAATAACAAAACTATCGCAATTAGGTCTTCAGTTGTGTTGTTTTGAATGCACTCAGTTTTTTCCTAATCTTTGTGTTTGACCCCACCACGCTGATGGGGTAGGCTACTGAACACGCAACATGTATTGAAACAAATAAGAGATACATCGCTACATCAACAGTCTTGCTTTACCATGAATAATTGTCATAGGCATTCATATATTTAATAGTCACAATTTCTTTAATCACTTCAGTTCCTTTTAGTTACTTTGATAAAGTTCCTTTGATAAACTGTTTAAACAAATGATCAAAAGTTTAAAAACACTTCATTTTTCTATCTCCTAATTGCAAAGACTTGGGAGAAATTCTTTCAAATGCTCCAAATCACATATTTTAATACAATAGTTTTAGGATTGTGTTAAGGTTATGGTTACTTTCTTTCTGAGGTTTCATTTTTAAATACTCCAACCATAAAACCTATTTATTTTACTTTAAACAGAATTTCTAAAACTATTTGAAACAATGTTTGTACTATACTGTGAATTTAAGCAATGACAACCAAAAGCAAAGAAAAATATCATTTCCTACATTATAAGAAGGGGGTGTGTAATGTAAAGCATCATTTTCTGCAAAATGAGGAAATTTATATGTCAAGAGGCCAAGATGTTTGACCCTAAGGTCATTGTCCCTCTTTGCTTTTTAAAGTCAATTATCAGTCAGACTTGATCTGTTCACTTCCTCACAATCCTCTTGTAATCTAATTTTGCTAATTTGAGGATAACCCTGAGCAGGTATAAAACACCAAGGCAGCCATAAACTACCTGTGTGTGGTTGGTTTACACCTTTCTAACACTACTGGGATATTCCATCAGCTGAAACTCAAGCAAACTAGACAACAGAAGATGGCTTGGGAAGGAGGAATTGAGCCCAATGGCACTGAAGGCAAGAACTTCTACATTCCCATGTCCAACAGGACTGGGATTGTTAGAAGTCCTTTTGAGTACACTCAGTATTACATGGCAGACCCGATAATTTACAAACTCCTAGCTTTCTACATGTTCTTCCTGATCTGCACTGGGACTCCCATCAACAGCCTGACATTGTTCGTAACTGCTCAGAACAAGAAGCTCCGGCAACCTCTCAACTATATCCTGGTCAACCTGGCTGTGGCTGGACTCATCATGTGCTGCTTTGGATTCACCATCACCATCACATCAGCTTTTAATGGCTACTTCATTCTTGGACCCACCTTCTGTGCAATTGAGGGATTCATGGCCACACTAGGAGGTAAGCAAGAAGTCAGATCCTTTTCAGGATCCTTTCTATTTCATTGGCAGATATACAATATCAATGAATAACTCACCTTTTCTGTCTACAGGTGAAGTTGCTCTCTGGTCACTTGTTGTCCTGGCTATTGAGAGATACATTGTGGTCTGCAAACCCATGGGAAGCTTCAAGTTCTCTGGAGCTCATGCTGGTGCTGGAGTACTCTTCACATGGATCATGGCAATGGCTTGTGCTGCACCTCCACTCTTTGGATGGTCCAGGTACTCAAATATTTCTTAATATTTTATTTAGTTAAACAGCCTTTTGTACTTTTAAGCCACTAACTTGAAAATTAGATATTTTCACTCACAAAACTAGATGTTAAATGTAAAGAGCTATTTTTACTGAATGAGGACATGACTTTCTTTCTCACAATCTCACACAGGTACCTTCCTGAGGGAATGCAGTGTTCCTGTGGTCCTGACTACTACACACTGGCTCCAGGTTTCAATAATGAGTCATATGTCATCTACATGTTTGTTGTTCACTTCTTTGTTCCTGTCTTCATCATTTTCTTCACTTATGGAAGCCTTGTGATGACAGTCAAAGCTGTAAGTGAAGCTAAAGTTCTTAAATTATTTATAATAGGTTAGTTAATCTAACCAAGCTAGCCATTGCTACTGTGGAATTTATTGGCGTTACATTAACCTAACTGACCATAAAACTTAACAGGCAGCAGCACAGCAGCAGGACTCAGCTTCTACCCAGAAAGCTGAGAAGGAAGTGACCCGTATGTGTGTCTTGATGGTCATGGGCTTCCTAATAGCTTGGACACCGTATGCTAGCTTTGCTGGTTGGATTTTCATGAACAAGGGAGCTTCTTTCACTGCCCTCACTGCAGCCATCCCTGCTTTCTTTGCAAAAAGCTCAGCCTTGTACAACCCTGTTATCTACGTGCTAATGAACAAACAGGTTGGTGTTACGTATTCTCATAGTTTTCTTCTCTGTTTTTCAGTCTTTTGCTGTTTACTGAGTTTCTGAATTGGCTGTCTTTCAGTTCCGTAACTGCATGCTATCCACCATTGGAATGGGCGGCATGGTGGAGGATGAGACCTCAGTTTCAACAAGCAAGACAGAGGTGTCCTCTGTGTCTTAATCTTGATGGCATCTTCAGATCTATGGACATTGATGATCGCTCGCAAATTTTCAAAATTCCCATTAGAGATATCTTTTGCCAAATGGATTTAAGAAGCGGACTTTGGACAAAAACACTAAGGAATTCTATCTTATCTTATCTCTGAACTAACAAAAAATGCATTTTCTGTTGAGGTGATCTTGTACAGCAGTTGTGCGTCTGTGTGCATGTGAGAGCATTTGAGTGAGTGAGTCGATGTGTAGGAACTCAGATCCTCAAAATGTCAAAAGAAAAACTGTAAAACTGCTGAAATGTGACACTTTTACCTGATGAATGTGCAATCACATGCTGATTGTTTTCATGTAATTTTATGGTTGGGGATGTGTGTGGGGGGGGGAAGGGGGGCATACTGTATACTTAACTGGTCTACCAGTGGTGTTATTTTTATGTATAAAAAAATAAAATATAGACTTGAGTAGAAAATAAATGCATGCATGAAAAGAAACATACCTGTTTGTTGTTTAACTCTAAAGCTTAACACATAGATTTAAATTAAATCCAAAGGGCACACACACACACACACACAGGACGATTGTGGCTCAAGAGTTGGGAGTTCGCCTTGTAATTGGAAGGTTGCCGGTTCGAGCCTTGGCTTGGACAGTCTCGGTCGTTGTGTCCTTGGGCAAGACACTTCACCTGTTGCCTAGTGGTCAGAGGGCCCAGTGGCGCCAGTGTCCGGCAGCCTCGCCTCTGTCAGTGCACCCCAGGGTGGCTGTGGTTACAATGTAGCTTGCTATCACCAATGTGTGCGTGAATGGGTGGATGACTGAATGTGTAAAGCGCTTTGGGGTCCTTAGGGACTAGTAAAGCACTATACAAATACAGGCCATTTACCATATGTGTATCATTCAACACCCACTAAATTTCTCCAGGCTGTTATTACTGTTTTCTCAATTAAAAACAAAACATAGTCACTTGCTGATTATATTGTCAACATGTCATCTTCAAGTTAGTCAAGACTGACAGTTAATGATTCCCTTTTGGACAGGAATGGCTGTTGTTGCATACTTATAAATTATAGTAATCCACCATGAAAGGGCAGCAATGAAAAGAAAAGGAAGTGCTCCTTAGACAGAAGTGTCACACTTATTGCAATTTTTATATAGCGAAGGTTTTGTGATGTGTGAATGTTTAAAATAATGAAGAACTGCTGAGATGTGAAAGTAGGCCAGTGAAATAAATGACCTGCATCAGAAACTGTCTGTTTCCCTGTTTCACTCTCTTATGATGGAAAACAATCACATTGAGGGGATTATAACAACGGGTCTACAATGGGCGTCAATACATTTTTCACCAAGGGTATGATGAATACCTCTGCTGACCATAACATCAAAATGTCCTTCGGCCTGGTCATGAGTCTATGTATAAATACACAATTCTGATAGCACATTTCCTACGTCTGAAGATGTGAAGCTGATATATGAGAAATCACCCAAACATGTTTTTACAAATAATTAGCTTTTTTCTGCAATGTGGTGATAAATGAGTGTAGACATTTTTGAGAAATATGTGTAATAAAACATTTGACACCAACAACAAGAACAAAAAACATACACCCTTTGTGGTTTGTTTCTTTTTGGAGAACAAGTGAAGAAATGACTTATTTTCCTGCAATTTGCACGGAGAAGAAGAGGACATTATTAATCCTATTTATGGGAATGCATCAGTAGAAAAAACAACTTATATTTGGTGTGATGTTACACCACCCCCTTGAGGCCTAACTCCTAACATACAACCTTACGTGTCTGCTGTTATACATGCTACATTTTCTGAGACTGAAAAAAGGTACAAAATGAAAAGCAAAGACCTGAAATTTAGAAAGGTAGCACACAATTGTTGCTCAAGTGGAATGATAAAAAAAAAAGAAAAGAGTTGATGTTATTTTTTTTAAAAATAAACATAGTAGGACCCTCGCTTGGAAAGCCTACAGATGATAAAACAGGTGGATAATGCCCCCTGCAGGTGTTTACAAAAAGTGAAAAATAGCTTATGTCTCTGTATCACCACTGTGTACAACATCTTCCTCATTGTGCTTCATTTGGAAATAAAAGTCACAGCTGGTTCATGTACACCAGGGAAAACAGACATAACCAACATTAAGTGCTACATGCCAGTATGACATCTTACGAAGGGGATTAATTACATTTAAATGTAGCCTTTCCTCCATACAAGATGGGCCATCTATCTCATGATGTAGCCTTTTATTTCCTGCTGATGACCTGACCCTAATTGGCATGCTGTGGGTACATTCACTGCAATTTTCTTCAAAGAGCCTCCTCTGGACACCTGCATGTGCTCAGTCTCTTTGTCAGGGGGCCGGCAGAGGCGAGCATCACCCCTCTTTGTTCTAATTGCTTTAATCAGATAGCGGACTGCATACAGAGGCCTTAATAACAAACTTGGGGATGCTCTGACTGTAACTCAAAGCTAATGTTCACTTTGAGGACGGCTGGAGCTACATAATAGTTCTGTTAGCAACAGTCTGTTAGCAACCGGCCTAATTTTAAGCAGGATTCCCAGTCAGCAAGTGTAAGTTTACCACAGTTTGCTTTTAACATACAAAATCTATATTATTTGATCCCTGACAAGAAAAGTTAATTATTTTTTTCTGAGTTTTTTCTGCTTTGCCATTTTTTGGCAAATTTATGTAGTGGAAAATTTATTTGCATTTTTCTTTTTTCTTTTTTTTGGCAGGTTAATGTTTGTGTCTGAAAAAAAATGAAACATTTCTTAAAACCAATTTGTTCTGATGACATATCATCCTGGTGTTTGTTGAAACAACCTAAATATCAGGCATTTCAGTCTCATTTTATTTTTCCACAGAACACAAGTTAAATCAATCAAACAGATTTTGAAGCATTTGCCTCACTGAGTATGCAGCCTCAATGCTCAGATGAGCACAAACAGTGTTGTCATATTATTGGCTGCTCAGATACCACATCAAACTACTTATGAGTATGCCTTCTCATGGGCTAAAGCAAGAACAACTTGTCAAACAACACAAAACACGTTCAAAAACAGGCAACTGTTGGGCACCTGCCATGATAACCGAATTCCATGTGTAACATTGTGGTGTTCCCGTGAATGAATGAATGAATGAATGAGTGGTGGAGATCCACTGACACACTGAGGTTCACAAGCAAAGTTATCATTCAGTGAAGAATATTTATTCCACCTGTAGTGGCTTACTTATAACAATAATCATTTACTTAGGTGACATGGAAATGACTTTAAAATCAAAGGTGGATTATAGCATTACGGATTGCTGACATTTATATTGGTGAACATGTACACAAATCAGCTCAACCAACAGCTACCAACTCAAAGTCATGAACAGTTTATGGTCTGAGTGGTGAAACATTTTAGGTATTAGTATTATGGCCACCTTAAACAGATGACACTGACTTCGAAAAGATTATTCCATCAGGATTTGCAGGTGAGATGATTCCATTCACAGTGTGAGTCACGCTTCTTTAAATCAGTATTCATTAGTGATTCACTATGCTGGTTTCCCAAATTTGATTGCTTTCTGTATTTTTTAGTATTTACTACTTTTTTTGTTTCTTTTACTTATATACTTTGTCACTGAAATTAGTGGGTCGTATCTCTTTCTACACAAACTAATAATGGTATACACTCACTTTGGCATATATCACCCACTATCACGCTATGATTGAAGAAATATGCACAGCAACAACTAACATAACATACATCCTAAAGTTAAATCCTTCAGAGTAAGATAAACTATAAACAACATGAGTCACTTGATCATATTATACATGCTTAACAAAACTCTAGTACATTTGTTGGATTCAATTCTTGCACTAATCCAGCAGATTTACAGACGTGTGTATTGTATTTTTCAATTTACATGTATAATTAAAACATATATCAGCTTAAACATTGGTACAAGGCAGGAAGCCATGCTTTCATCTTGTTTACATCAAATTCTGACCCTACCATCCAAATGTCACAGTAGAAATTTAGACTGATCAGATCCAACTATGTTTTTCAATTTTCTGTTGTCCAATTTTTGTTATTTTGGTGAGCCTGTGAGAGTTGTAGCCTCAGTTTTCTGCTGTTAGCTGACAGGAGTGGAACCCAATGTGGTCTTCTTCTGCTTTAAGGTGTGATGTGGTACGCTTTGACAGATGCTCTTCTGCATACCTTGGTTGTTATCTGAGTTACTGTTTTCCTATCAGCTTGAAGCAGTCCAGCCATTCTCCTTCTTTTCACCCAGAACTGATGGTCACTGGATAGTTTCTCTTTTTTGGATATTCTCTATAAACAGTATAAGTGACCTTGTAGGAAAATCCCAGAAGATCATCAATTTTTGAAATACTCATACGCCAACAACTGTGCTGTGTTCAAAGTCACTTTGAACACAGCACGGTTTGAACTTTAGGAGGTCGTCTTGACCATGTCTACATACCTAAATACACAGAGTTGCTGCCATGTGATTAGCTGATTAGAAATTGGCATTAATAAGCAGTAATACAGCTGTAACTAATCCAAAACAAATAAAATAAAAAATTCAAAAAATTCTACATTTCTCACACTTGAATGTTTCAGATCATCAAACAAATTGTAATCTTAGAAAAATATAATTTGAGTGAAAAGAAAATGCAGTTTTTAAATTAAGATTTAATTTAAATGTCCAAATCGACCTAGCCCTGTGTGAAAAAGTAAACCTAAATATAACTGCTTAAATCTAACAAATGGCTGCGCCATCCTTGACAGCAAGAACTGCAATCAAGTGCTTGAGATAATATAAAATAAGATAAAATATAGCAATGAGTCTGCAGTATAACATCCCTGTGGAGGAGCTTTGGCCCACTTTTCACTGCAGAATTGTTTTATTTCAGTCATACTGCAGGAGGTTTAAACTGCAGGAAGCACAAGCATGAAGACCCTGTTTAATGGTCATGCTAAAGTATCCATCCACTCTCCTCTTCTTATTCATGAGGTCACCAATCTGTTGCAGGGCCAACATAGAGAGACTGACAACCATTGACACTTACACCTACAAGAAACTTAGAATCACCCTTAACTCCACTAACTGCATGTCTTTGGACTGTGGGTGGAAGCCAAGTGAACATTTAAACTCCACACAGAAGGACCCCAGCCAGATAGTGGAGCTGAACTCAGGACTTCCTTGCTGTGAGAGAGTACGAACCACCATGCCACCGTGCTGCTAAAGTAATTCAATTGAATTTAAGTCTGGGTTTTGACTGGGTACTTTCAAAAGGTTAATTTTGTTTTTTTGAGCAATTCTTTTATGACTTCCTGGATAAGTCACGGAGGCGCTGTTGGAATTATTTTGGTAGGAAAATGACTCCGAGGAAGGTTCACTCTTGTGGTAGTTTTCCTGATGTCTTTTTTTTTTTCATTTGTGGATAATGACTCTCGCCGCCTTTTAAAAAGGAAGTTAATCACAGTTAAATTATGATTTAACAAGGAGAGAGTGGCAACTACTAATGTAAATTTATATTTTGATGATCTGAAACATGTAAGTGTGCCAAATAGATTTAAAAAAAAAAACCTAAGACATCAGGGAGGGGTCAAACACTTTCTATTATCAGCACTGTAACTGCTGTGCTGTCATAGTGCTATTTGAGTAAATCTTTTCATTTAAGGATATTTGTAAATACTGTTCATACGATAGTGATTATGATGATAATGATTATAATAATAATTGTAGTGGTAGAAGTAGTAGTAGTATATAAATTTAACACAATAACAGGCTGTAAAGTTATGTGTAAAGTTCACAAGTTAAAATAATTTCTGTGGTGTCTTATGAAAACTGTTTGGGTTTCCCGCTACAACCACAGGTGCACAGTTGTTTGCACAGTTTGTACAGTCGTGTTCAACTTCATGATTTTATTTAAACTGAAATGCACTGGCTGATCATGCTTGTGCCATCATGCATGTATATCACTCTGTCTTTGCAGCGACTTGTTTACAAGGACCAAACCTGTGTAGTCAAACAGGTTAAGCGGTTTTAAGTATTAGTTAGCATTTTGTTAATTGTCTCAAATAGGATGAAACAGATACCCTGAGGGATTATCCCTTTGGGCTTTGCACTTGAGATAATCCTGATACACAGTGTGAGAAACGCTTTACTTTGGTGTTCTCATAACAGCGTTCACTAATTATTTCCTTTGGAAATATCTCCATTAGTTTTTTTTTAGTATTTCCTCACTTTCAATGTCCTTTGTTTTGTTTCTTTTTTAATGAAAACATAGAGATTGACATCTTTTACTGAAGAAAGTAACCACAGAATACACCCTGATTAAACTGTGACTACCTAAAAAATCAACCATATAACTGAAGAATATGCAGTGAAACATGAAATAGGCTGAAAATCCCATGAGCACATACAAGCACAAGCAGGTAAAATATACTTACGCCTGTTTCATGTTAACAGTATGATTTCAACATGAAAATTATACTGATATATTGGAAGGGATATATAAAGGAAACATTCAGCTTTGATATAACTACGTCAAAAGTGACTATGCTTGCATTTACAGAAGCACATATCTATTAATACTCATAAATGTTCAAATGGAGACACTGCAGTGCTAATAACAAACAGAATCAATTATGCAGAACAGTCAAACAAATAAATATTCATGGGAGAATGCTCACACACTGGTTACATGTATTTGTCCACTGATACAACATATTTCCATATTACATATTAGAGAGCACTGTAGTGTGATGTGTTTTTTCATTTAAAGGTAAGATCAAGCACTTATAAAGTTTGTAAAGTAAAATCATTTCTTTATGAAGAACTCAAAGCCCCAGAATGATAACGCTAAAGCAACCAGATCCTATCTCAGTGTAACTGTGAAAGGATATTTTAATTGTTTTCTGGAAATGTAGAGTTTAGATTAGATTTAGATGAAACTTAGTCCCCCCCCCCCCCCACAAAAAAAATATTGTCCACAGAAAATAAAAGGAAAATAGAAAATGCACAGTAAAACATGCAAAAGGACCCAGAGATCTCAGAAACAGTATTCTTGAGCAATCATGAGCGTATAAGTTTATGTAGAGGATAAACTATGTTGTGATCCAAACCCTTCAGCATTACATTTAGTCAGCAATGATGTCATTTTTACAAACTCAAAACAGCAGTAGCAAATTTTCATTCAGTTCTCTACGTGCATGTGCACGGTCAAACTCTAAGTCACATCTCATTGACAAATATCATCGGACCTTGAGAAGCCACTTTATCTTCTCTGTCATAAATTACCGGTTTACCAAGATATGTCTGTGGTAAGCTGAAGCTTACCTGTGTCTGGTTGATGCTAGCTTGCCTCTGCAACTGGTGATCAAAGTCTCCCTTTGACAGATTGAAACTGTTTTGTCGAGAGGGAGCAAAGTTCTCCTCTGGCTGGTCGAAGCTGCTCTCGCTGTAGAGCCGCTGTCGCATTGAACCGGAGCGTTTCCCAGACGCACTCCTGGTCGGATATCTCTGTCCAGTCTTGTACCAGCCCGTCTCTTTGAAGACAAACCAAATATTCCCAGACCAAAGGACAACATTAACAAAGCCAAAGACCTGGAGGAAAAGAAAAAACACACTAATATAAAATCGCTTTCAATAGCAGTGCTTCAGAACGTGCGTCATTCTTTAATTATAGACATACCACAGATGTGTTAAGACGTGACCAGAGAGGCTCCTCTGTAGCTGTGCATTTGTTTTCCTGAGCTCTGCAGGAAGTGATGAGAAGAAGCACCTGTGTTGGGTTGGTGACTGTCTTTATATCAGAAAGAGTTTTGGCCCAACAACAACTGCTGACCAACCACATGAAGGAGAAGATGATCGTAACAACAAAGTCCTGAGACACAGGAGAAAGGAGGAAAAGTCAAAAACCAAATTGAGTAACGACTTAAAAAAAAAAAAAGTAAAGTTAGATCATGAATGTCAGCCTCAGGCCTAATACCAGCAGATATGCTTATATTAATGCCACCTCATATCAGCCAATGACTCCACTACACAGTAGGGTATCTCATACAGAGCATGCTATTTCAAGTTAGTGCAAATCTGCAAGCTACTTGACAACCAGTCTCCACCCTATCTCCACTTTTATGCCCTGTCTGACTTAATAAGCAGGTCTTGATGCTGCTCCCCACTTTATACACTTCATGTATATGGATGTGCAGGAAGGCTCCAGAGTGGAGTCACAAAATGCTGCAACTATTCTTTTAGCTATATTGGTCACGTCTGAATTGCATTTTATATAATACATAAACAAGACTCTATCAGACGGTAATATGAAGCTGGAACACTGAAAAATCTGAACATGAAAACTCACTGACCACAAGTGGACCTCTGTTGTTCTTCAAGTACTTGTTCTGGTAGAAGACATAGACAATCGTTGCCAACAGCGAGTACAGGAAAGCAAAGACACCCACAGTCGTGAAGTATTGGGCAGCTGAGGAGAAGTCACCTTCCAGGAAAATAATCTCATCTCTGTTCTCTTTGCACAAAGGAGCTTTAAAATGCACTTGCTGTAATCTACAAAACAGAAAGAGCAGGTTTACGTGGAGAAGTGGGGGAAATTTGATGCTGCAAAACTGATTGGTTAAATAACTCTTTATATATAATCAGTTTTCAAAGTCTGTCTGAAACTTGTTCACCAGTGTTTGGGAAAAAACAAAAAGGAAAGTTTGTGAAGGACAGCTTAGAAATCTAGTGGTGCTTTAATAAAAAATAAAGCTCAGTTTTCTCTTTCTTACCTGTTGTTTTTGTTTGTTTCTCACGAGACTCTTGTGAATTTGGTGTTGCTCGTATAAGAAGCAATACAATACAATATTTATAAAGTAGCTCCAAAAAGAAAAAAAAGCCAAGGACGTCTGCAAGATCTCTCTCCAATATGACGAAAGGACAGTGAAACTGCTTCTGAAATATGAAGCACTGACCAGTCTGATAACAGCAAACTGAGCAACTGTTACCCTGACAGGATCAGGTTTAAATCTTCATTAATCCTCCACTCAGTGAGGATTAGTCACTTTTTTCAGTTAGCATTTTATACTGGTTTATACTGGTTTATACTGGTTTATGCTGGTTGATAAAACTTGAAAAACAGCAGACACCGTGCTTCATAGTTGATGCTGTTTTCTGTCTTCTCCTCAGAGAGAAAAGTGTGATGCAAGGTGTTGCGTATTTATGCATGCTCAATATGGCCTAAAAAGCACTGAAGAAAAAAAATTCTACTAAGTAGACCCAATATTAATTAGGTCTTCATTATAAAATACTAAAGCATAAGGAGTACATGGTAAATGGACTGGTACTCATATAGCACTTTTTCTACTCGAGCACTTTCTTACTACAAGCTTCATTCACCTACACAAGCAGCAGTTTTACCTTACTAAGTGCTTTTAACTTAATATTCACACAGATCCATCCGCATTCACTATCTTGCCAAAGGATACTTCAACATGCAGATTAGAGGAACTGCTGACCTTCTCAAGCAAATGACCTGCTCCACCTCCTGATCCACCGCTGCCCAGTATTCTTAACAATGTATGTTTGACTTCTCTCAGCATCTATTCTAATGCAGTTGTACAGGGCATGAGAGGTTTGAGTGGGTCGGTTCATGTGGCTGGTTGTTTTTCACCAGGGTTTGGCTTTTGATCAGTTTGTTATAAATTAATGATTAAAAAAACCCCATCACAAATAAGAGCATGAAAAACAGAAGCAATTTTTTCAACACAACTCCCACTTTTACACTGTTCACATGCTAAGCGAGTTAAAATATATGCATAGAAAAGCAGTGTAGACATATTTGCCAAATGAACATTTTATTCATTTGAATGAAATAGCAAAGCAGTTGTAAATGTTCATATTTATCATATCGTCTCAACCCCTTTTCCGGTTCAGGACAGTAAGCCAGCTGTGCATGGGCAAGAGGCAGGATACAGGCCTGGACTGGTCTATCACAGGCTGAACTCATGGAGACAGAAAATCATTCACACTCATATTCACATCTACGGTCAATGTAGCAGCAAACTCTTTGGAGAAAGTCCATGCAGGCACAGGAGGAGCATCCAAACTCTACAGACAAAGCCAACAGAACCTATTTGCCATGAGGGCAACTTTTGCACAACTGTCAACATTTATTTTCCACAATTACACTGCGAAGGTTGACTAATACACACACACACACACACACACACACACACACACACACACACACACGACTAGTAATTATGATTAACAACAGGCACACCACTCATGGCTCACATGAAATGATGTGAAAAGAGTGACCTCCCTGTGGAAGCCACTCACCTAAACCAGGCTTTTTTTAAACAATAAAAAACCCCAATGTTCATGCATTGCTCTTTGCACTTTACTGGTATAAAATTAAACTCTTCAACATCCACTTTTGGCTGGATTCTCTGTATAACACAGCAATTTCATTTAATCAGTGGGTAATTATATTCTATATTCCCACCACAGATCTGAAAATATGTAATTGCTGTGAATAAAAAGGACCTGCCAGATTCAACAAAGCAATAAGAACAATTTTTTTTTGTCATCCTGGAAGACAGCCGAGTAATGTTTATGTAATGGTTCACAAAGAAAGGCTGACATGGCCCCAGGTCATTGATGCAGTGTTTTCGAGTTGTGGACTTTCTAGTATTGTTCATTTTAATATTTTCTGTTGATTCTTAGGTTGCCTTGTTATTTGCTTCCTGATTTCAATTTCCTTAGTTCCTGTCTATCTTCTCATGTCAGTTTCCCTGCGTTAGTTCAGCCGTGTCTGGGTTTCCCCTGTTTAGTTATCATGCTTCACTTCCTGCTTTATTTTTATAGTTGTATTCAGTTTTACTTCTCCTCATCTTATTTTCCAGATTGTTTGCAGCAGACTGTGAGCACCTGTGTTGTTCCCCAGCTGCGTTCACTTCCCTTGAGTAGCCTTGTGTGCAGAAGCAGCTTCACTTTTCCTGTTATCCTTGCTCTGTGCATTTGTTATTCCTCCTTCTGATGTTCCTAGTTAGGTTAGTGTCCATTTTCCTGGAGTCCTTGGATTTTGTTATCTTTTTGATCTCAGTTTTCATTTGAACTGCTCCCTCATTTATTTATTAAAGGCATGATTTAGATTTTACTCCTCACAGTGATTTTTGGGTTCACATTTGGGATCCGCTACCACACACACTATGACAAAGATACTAATTTGTGGCTCATCATAATATCAGTGGGTCGCTAAGCATTCAAATCACCTACACGTACATGTTGTAAGATGAGAGCGAGTGGTAAAATAGAAACACTGGAACAGAAGTAAAAAAAAAAACAAAAACCTGAAGCTAAGATTTTTCTCATAGGAGTCCAGGTACGGATGAATCTAATGATGCGGGGAAGTATTTTAGACTCTGGGACAATAAATGGGTCAGACTCCTGCTCAGCTGTCAAGCTCTCTCATCCTAAGTTGGACAAAGAAAAAGCAGCTCCTCTGTTTTAGAGCTGTCATGTCAATGGAGCAGGCCTGTACAATTTTAAAATACTTTCTGGGCCTATTTAAGATGATTACTGTGGACATGCTTTTTTAGGAGACTATTCACATTTCAGCTCTTAAAATAATAAAATGTAAAGAGATTTCTTTAAAGTTAGCTGTGAAAGATTAAAGGAATCTTACTTAGAAGCAAACAACCAAAAGGGATCAAAAAGGAAACATAAGCAATTCGTTTACCTGAAAGGATACCCGAAATCAATGTTGATGCTGCGGTTATTCTGCCTCCTGTCTGCACAGTCCACCTTAACCTGGAGATGACCATAGTATCCTCCACATGTTGCAAAAGCACAGATGGCAAAAATCTTTGAAAGAAAAATCGTAAACCAGTAACCATTAGTTGATCATTTATTCAGACTCTCCAAAAGTAGTTGACTCCAATCAGCGTGTGAGTGCAGCTTCCTGCATAATGTATACACATCAATAAATTATATGACAGATTATTAAGATTTATAATTGGTTTGAAAACAAAACCTGAATAATTTAAAGGTTGGAAGACAACAAACAGAGCTCCTGACTGTGCCCTGGAAGGAGGCCACAGCAGTACAGTGAGATTCAATTTGTCAATGCTAATACCAAACTCAGAGGTCTAACTTACTGTGAGACCCAACTGACTGTGAGGCAGACAGCTTCCTATTTCTTCCACTTCACTGACACAAAGAACAAGAGCTTTACTCTGCATCGGCAACTTTGAGTCCATTTATTACTTTTAACATCAAACACAAACTAAAAATGATCCCTAATTAAACTGCTGTTATTGATACAATTACATTTTAAATGTGAATAGAAGCAGACGTCATCATTTTCACCAACCCGAAGAGATAAATACAGAAAATAAACCACCAAGCAAAGAAACTTACCGGAGCAAATATAACCATACACATTTAAAAATCACAGAGCCCAAATCCGCACAGTGCAGACAGCTTTAGTCACCAGGTTGAAATGTCACTGATGTAGATAGGAAAACCAGAGCGACTCCTCCAGCAGAGGGGAGGGCTGACAGGAGGTGCCTTCCCCAAGGAGGAGTCAGAGACATAGTCAGATGCTATATTTATTCAAGCGCTGCAATAAGCTGTGTAAAAAATATCAGGTAAATATTTTGTTTACTTTACTTGTGTTGCACTGATTATAAGAACGATTCCTGTTTTTTAGGATTGGCGTGTCATGGCAAAAACATCTTTTCAAAATAAAGCTGCATTAGGAACATGAAACAGATGCAAATATCTGGGGCAGTGTTTTCATCATGACAATTATTTCTCTGAACTTAATCAGGTGAATTTGAATGCTGAAATTAAGGTTAAACATAAAACCTTCAACATGAGACACATAAAATTGAGGGAAATTGTGTTCGTAAACATAAAGAAAAATGAAACAAATTAGTCTTGTGTTGTCTACCTTTGATTTCTGGGCTTTGAGCTGAAAATGAAAAAGCAAATGAAAGACTGGAGGTTTAATTTTCTCCTTCCATTTGGGATCATCACAGCTTATTTAGATATCCAGTGCATTACTGAAAAACTTCAAAGTTGATGGCACCCTTAAGCCGAAATCATCCTAAAAATATTAGTTTACATGCTGTAGTTGTTTATTTCTAGCGTAATGAGGGAGTCAAATTGACACAGATATGCAGTTGGTTACTCTGGTTACTCTCATTTTAATGTAGCTCCAGTGTAGCTGTGTTGCTTACACTGAGGTCTGATGAGTATATTAATTACAGTTCCTTTGAATTGCTTTGTATTCATTAATAACAACATATGGGTCTCAGTAATTATTGGGGCTCAGTAAGCCCAGAGTGTCAGGGGATCTTGAGTAATAATCCTAAGTAATATTAGTTCAGTGACCTCCACAAACAAGTATATTTCCCTTCAATATTAATTTTGATCAGTTTAACAACTGATTGAGTTAAAACTATACCTGCAGCTGCCTGTGTTGAAATGAGAGAAAGCATCACAGCTCCTGTGCATTTTGCAGATTTTAATAATTGCTGGATTCTTTAATTACATTTTATTTTCTAAGCAACTGCTGATATTTAGGTCATGTGTGCTGATATAAAAAGTATCTTGCTGACCTCTTTTGGTGACAAATCTGTACTACAGATGAATTTTTAAGTAAGGACGGAATTAGGGTTGTGCATGTCACTGAAATATGTTTGCAATATACTGAACTACAACCTGGGTTTTAACTGCTTATTGGTGATCTGAAGATACTGCAGCAGGACTGTGCTTTTCCTAAAGCATACCTAAAGCAAATAAACAAAAACAAAAAACCTCTTTGTAGGTTTTGGCTTTTTGTCAAAATCTGATTCTGATTAGTCTGAGTACTCAAAGTGAAGCGATTTATTTACAGTACAGTACCATGAATATGTTTAGAGATTAAAATGAGGGCGAAAGAGAGGGAAGGTATCATCAAGAGAGAACAGGCCGGTTTTGTTGGTACAAGAGCAGCTACTGGATCTCTTCAGCAGACTATCTCAGTGAAATGTAGTTTCCATTTTTATTTTTCACCGGGGCCTCTATAAAAGCATCGCAATTACTACACATCACACCACCAAATGTTAATACTCCTGCTATCGATCATTTAAAGTGCTCCCACTAATAACGATCTAAGAAGCAAATAAGCATCGGGTAAATACATAACACACAGTAATTACATCATAAAAGCAACAATATAAAAACAGGATATAATGAAATAGATATTGTGAAATATCCTTTTACATCATGTGAATTGTTGGAATATATACTGGAATAAATATCCACTCAAATCTTGAAAGTAATCACTGAAGAGCAGCAGGCAGTGCGTGATTAAATAACGGCTTAAAAAAAGTCAGAAGCCTGTTATGAGAAGTTATTTTAAAATAGAAAGTGACATTGATTGCCCAATTCCCTCAGGCAGTGACCAATCACAATTTAAGTCTGCACTGAGAAGCAGCCAGAATGAGCCAGTGCCAGAGGAAACCTAGCTTCTTTGAGGTGAAAGCATCTGAAAAGTAGCAAGACAGCAGGTTTAATGTGTTTAGAAATCTCTCAAAATCAGTTGTGAAAGTGACGGATACCCAGTGTGCGAGAGTAAAGACAGATGTCATGTGGATTCTTTTAGAACCTATTTTGTTCCAGCTGGAGGCTGACAGGACCATTAAACTGATGTAAAAATAGAGGTTGATGCTGCAGTCTTGATGAGAAGAGACATGAAATCCCCTCCCTCGTTTAAGCAGAGATAAGAATAGTTTGTTTTTTTTTGGTAATTCCCACGAGTAAAGACTGCTGCTTTGGGTTCTTTGCACCTCAAGTTAGTTTTTAAAAATGCTGTTTCTATGGAATGAGCCAGATAACTGTGGAGAGACAAAACAAAAGTCTTTGTTGTGAGACATTTTACAACATCATTCATTTCAAATGAACTCTCATGAAGGTTGTCAGAAATGTTTTGAAAGGTCCAGTGCGTTTCAGCAATATAAATGTTTGTTGTTGAAAACTGCAATAGAGAAATTTAGATTGGGAAAAAACATCAGTTCAAATAGAGGTTGTTAGTCAATCACCTAAGGGGAAAGCGAATATCCTGTTCAGGAGGTTACATGAGCTCTGACCCACTGTGTCGATCGTTTGTTCTTCACTCAAAACAAAACTCCTAAGCACTGGGTTGTTTTTTTTAAAAAAAGACAAGAAAAAGTAAGTAAAAATCAACAATATGGTGAATCAGTCTCACTCTTTTTTTTCACTCAGTCTACCATAAAGAAAGATAGCCATTCACACTGACTTTCACAAGGTCTTTAGATCGCATGGAAACCCAAAAAGGTGCAAGGAGAACATGCAAACCCCAGATGACCAGCGGGTCTGATACCACTGCTGCTGCCATGCAACAATGATAGCCACTCCATCACTACACTTTATTGTAGGTCCAAGATGTATCCAAAAAAAGGCAATGAAAAAAGCTAATAAATAAATGGCATCCAGGGAGCACACAAGGGTGGCAAACAGGAACACAACCAGATCCTCACTCAAGACCGTGGCAGTTAAGTCTTTGTAAGTGTTATATTACCCTGCAGTACTTAAATGTTATTCTTTACTAATACTCATACACTGTGAAATTATCTGTGTTATTCATGCATTTAAAGAAAATCCTTCTGAAAATGTGAAAATGCTCAATAACTGACATAGCCCTACTATTGTTAAGTAGTCTACCTCACCTTTATTTAAAAAGAGTGATTCAATTAATGCAATGTAATTGATGTCAGTGTTCCCCAAGCCTCACCAGCATGCACACAGCCTGAATAAATTCAACAGACCTCACTGTTAATCTTCAGGATGTAAAACCAAGAAATTACAGATAATCATCTTTTATTTAACACTCTAAAAGATGGATTTCACTGCTAGAAAGTCAGTCACGTCATGGAGCTATAATATTGGGATATAAAATGGTAACCCATACCTGACAATAAAATAAAGAGACAGCTGTGTTTTAAAGGGGCTTGAAAAGAGGAAATGACCACAATGTCTTGCCGGCCCTCTCTTCCATTATTGTTCAACTGGTAGCCATTAGTAGTTTTGTCACGGTTGACGCTGGCCAGCCGTGGGGATGTAAGGAAGGAGGACCCAGGCGTGGAGCTCTGAATGCAAACAGTACGTTTATTTACAGTGAAAATGGAAAACACAATAAATCCTCAGTGCGTTCCCGACTCCTTTGACATGTCCTCTTCCCAGTGCTAGTGTTCCTGTCTCCGCTTCTCAGTGTCTGAGCACCCCGTGCTCACTGCTCTCTCGTCTCCACGATTCTCCTGGGGAAATCAATCAATCAATCAATCAATCAATCAAAATTTATTTATATAGCTCATTTTAAAGACCGAAGTACACCAAAGTGCTTTCCAGTAAAATCCTGATACAGATAAAAAATCACAATATAAATCATAAATTACAGATATAAATAAAATAAAATATAAAATAATTACACAATCTAAATGCAAAGCCAGATGTAAATTAGCCTAATTAGCCTTAAACAAATACGTTTTTAGATGTGATTTAAAAGACTGAATGGAATCTGATGCGCGAATATGAGGAGGAAGAGTATTCCATAACCTCGGTGCGGCAACGGCAAAGGCACGGTCTCCTCTGGTCTTCAGCCGAGACCTAGGTTGCACTAAGAGCAGTTGGCCCGATGATCTTAGTGCTCTCTGAGGGCTATACAGACAGAGGAGATCAGCTAGGTAGTCAGAAATAACAGAGAGGCCACCATCAGACACACCACCATGCAGCAGACTAAACTTAGTAACTGGTCAAGAGACTAACGTGAAGCCACGCAATGATCCAGCGTCGGAGGGAGTCTAAAGTAACTCCTCCGACGGGGCTTGATCAGCTGCGTGATGGTCTTCAGGTGTGGCCAACCATCTGGCAGGGCCACACCTACCAGGCCTGAAGGCGCCTGTAAACAGGTGCTCCCAGACACACCCAGACACACACACACACACCTGCAAGCAGAACAAGGGACAGCAACATCAAAAACACATATAATAAAATACAGGTCCATAACTGCTCAGAGACCCTGGATCTGAGCGATCCAGGGTCTCTGACAAGTTTGTATTAGGCTGGTGTTTATTAAGGTTTTTTCTTAGTTCACTGCAGAGCAAGTTAACCACAAGCCCTTTTCACAAAAGATATGCTGACATTTCTCAGGAGGAAAAGCATAAATAAATGCCAAAATGTCAGTTTCATGAACTGTGTGGATCATTAAGTGGATGAGAAACCAAACTGCAGAACAAAGGACATGTAAACAAAGGCTCATTGGGGGGGCTGATGCAAAGCCCAAAACAAAATAAGGTCCCAAAGGTGATCAAACATATCCAAATCTGACCACAAAAGGAATTAGAACCACTAGGGATCTATCCAGGAAATCTCAGAGGAATGCAGGCAGACAAGCAGGCAAGCTACACAAACAACACA